AACAGCAGCTGGGACGGCCAGGACAGGCGGAGCACAGTCGGGACAGTTGGGACATGGCCAGGACAGCCAGGACAGAATGTGTCGCAAACAAGAGCGGGGAGTGCTGTGCAGCGAGTGATAGAGGAAGCAATAATTTAATTCTGCATTGCAAATGCAAACAAATTTTGTTGAGCCGCAGAGAAAACTTAAACCGCAACGCGCAACAAAAACGCAGCAGAAGACAAAACCAAAACGCGAAGCCGCGAGGCGGCTCTGAGCAGCGGAAGGAGCAGGATGCCACGGTACAAGGAACTGTGGCCAAAGTGAGCGAGTGTTTATTTTATAGCCGCCACAGAGTTGGCTTCACCCGTTGCCCGACTAACAACCTCCGAACGTTTTGCTGCTGTTGCATGGCCCGCATTTCTGCCCCAGCTCCTGGCATCGGTCTGTTATTATTGAAGAATTATTACGCGGAGTGGCAACCGAAGCTGCCAATGCAGGCGATGTTGTCGTCCTTCCCCCTCTAGACGACTAATAGCGCAAAGCGCCCGCACAATATCCTTGTCGTGGCTTCTCTATATTTTTTATATATTTTTTTTAGATTTATATATTTGCGCATAAAAACTGAGTGTAAAAGTTTTGCATATTCATGGCGCTTTAAATGTCGTCGCCAGCGTCGACGGCACCGATGTCTGAAGTGCAACAGCCGCCGCAACAGCCACAAAGGCAACTGGCAATAATAGCAAAACAGCAATGCAGCCTTGGTGTATACCCTACCGAATGAAAGTACTCTGATTTTGCTGAGAAACTAATTACATTGAGATAAGCCAAAGCTGCAAGGCCAAGAAATAAATGTCAATGATTCGGCTTTTAGCTTAACCCCATTCTGAAGCTTTGATTCATAAGCTTGATTTTTCAACCAATATTATTCAGGGTTTTGGTTGAAAGGATCAATTTATTTTGCTCTCGTATGTAAATTTTGTTATCTTTGTATTTTAATTAATCGAAATAATATAAAATAACCAAATTAAAAAGTGTTTGAAATAAAATTTGGATAAGTTCAGTTTTAAATTCGGCTGTTTTTCTTCATGATCATGAGATCCCAGCTCTAAGCGTTTCGGTAAAAACCCGGCCTTGAGCCTGGATATAAATATATATTCTTTTATATATTAATTAAAATTAAATTTTACTTCACTTGCAACATGTTATAAGATATTTATTGTGTAATTTTTGTCAATATTCTTGTGTTTGTTTTCCCATTCCTATTTTATTCCCAAAATGGCAAAGTTAATAAATGCAGTTTTAAGTAATATAAAAGTGTATTTCTGCTGCAACTAGCTGCAGCTATGAAAACATCTCAAACTTTTTGTGCACTTATAGTACATATATGAAGCAGATGCTAAAGAGCGAAAGAGAGGTAGTGAGAGGAAAAGGAAAAAAAAAAGCGCTGAGAAAAAAAAATCGTAATAACATCAACTATAAAAGTAGCAACATCAGTTGGCAGCTGTAAGCAAACCAAACGACAGACCGACCGACCGACCGACAGACAGACAGACAGACAAATAGACGACCGTCACAGACATATTGTGTCTGCAAAACTTTGTTGACAACAACAACAACAACAACAACGACAACAACTACGTGAGGATACAACAACAAGGAGAAAGTGTTTCAGTCGAGTATCTCGCGACTAAAAACCGCGCAATGGAGCGCATGTGAAAACAATGAGATTATTGGTTAAATTTATGTGTTCTCTATGAAGTCTAGCAGCTGGCTGCTGCTAAGGCCCCCTCCGCCGAGCCACGCCCACGTTCCGTGTACCACACCCCGACACAATTTGCCTTGTAATTGTCGACATGTCAGCACATTAAACGGCTATAAAACGTTGGCAAACTGGCAAATCAAAGCAACTTGTCCCGCGTCGACAAACTTTTCTAATTTACGGCCATGGAATGCAACAGTTAAGCGCCTGTGGCCTTTTGAACTCTCGACCCCGGCCACATTTACATGCACACAAGCACACGAGAGCACCCAAGCCGCAGCGCCCAGAACGCAGACCAGCTGGTCGGTCTACCTGCGAAGTTGCTCTAAAATTTATCATGACACTAATGAGCATGAAATGGGACAAGGTTTATTAAATTTCCTTTTTAAAATGCGCACATGGCAAGCTGCCCAGGAAGATGCGATGCAGTTGGCAGTGTGTGTGAGGCGTCTCCCAGGCAAAAGGCAACAAGTTTTTTATTATTTTTTGCTATGCTCATCATCGCAAGCAGGCGACGGCATTGCATCGAGGCGAACATTGGCGACATGGACGCGGCGCCATGGCGACTTTCGCACAACCCTGCCCCACCTATCAGCTGCCTAACTTCGCAAGATACCCTGCCGCCGCCCGCACCCAGCTGCCACACATAGACGGACGTCCAAGCAGCTGCTGCTGCTGCTGCCCGGGCAGCAGAATGAAAAATGTCCGCAAGTGCGAAAATGAATCTGCCCCATGTTGCAATTTATTATGCCAACATAATAAATATTATATACAGTTGGTGTGTCAGCGACTCACAGACTCAACGCGCCCCTTTTGGGGAGGGGCCTTCACTTTGGCACATTTTTAGGGCGCGTCGCTTTGTGACACTTCGAGAAGTGTTTAAAACGTTGCCTCGTCCATTTGCCTAATTGTGGCTAAGGCAAATCAAAATGTATTTGCCGAAGTATTTATAGCTGAGGAACTGAACTCCTAATCAAATCTTTTAAGTGTATACTGTAAAGAAAACCTCTGAGATTCTCGACTAGGAGTTGCCCCAATCCTAGATACGAGCTGACGCATTGAATATTGCAATAAATAATAAATATATTATATATAATAAGGTAATACTATATATTGTTTTATATGTTTACGTTTGACTATGGAGGTACGAGGGAGGTATTCTGAAACAAAATATTGTAGATTTGTGTACACGAAAGAACCAAGATGGATGACTCTATTTCCTATAGTTCTCGAAATCGTTAATACAATTGAACAGACAGTCTATTAATCTGACCAATACGACTAAGCTCAATGTCCTGATCTTTATACTTCGTATCGTATTTGCCTTCTTCCTATTTCACACATCTACACCAAACTAAGCATCATATCAATTTTAGACATAACACTAGCTAATTAAGGGTATTAAGAATAGCAGTAGAAAAAAATTATTTTAATGGAAACACGTTTTCTCAATAATTATTAAGACAGTTCGATTTTAATCATAATTCACAATATTTACATTATTCAGGTAAGCATCAAAACTTTTCGCATTTGCACATTTTTATATATACCTCAAATCTTTGCTACTCGGCATTAAATAATTGGAATGTTGTTGGCCTTTCCCCTAACTATTTGAAACCGTGTTGGGAACTTTGTTTATTTTGAGCTTAACTCTTTTCATTCACCCTGGGGTATATACAAATTTGTTGGGTACGCACCCATAAATAAATCATTCAAATTGTCAACACGAATTTATTTGTGTTGCGTTTTCGTATGATGTAAGTTTCTTGCGGTTCCCCAAGCGGAAATGAACAACATGGTAGTCAGAGCGAGCAAGGTGTCGATCAGGGGCGTGGCGGGGGTGTAAGGAGGCAGCAACACAGCGTTGTGCTTTTGTCAGGCTTGTCAAGTTGCTTGCAACGCAGTCTGTCTAAGTCTGTGTCTGTATGTGTATATCCATGTTAGTAATATGTGTGTGTATTAACATTTTGTGCGTGCGTGTGTGTGTGTCAGACTTGGTCGCCTTTGCGGTCGGCAGATATATTATTGCTAAAATACCCTTACTAAAGGTCAAAAAACAATCACATATCGCATGCAAAGTGGCGGAAAATATTTTTAAGAAATCTATTGGAGCTAGGAATTAAAACAAAAAAACCAAACTAAACTAACTACCATATTAAGCAATGTATTTTTCTTTGGAATCTTAAAAATGTTAAAGGGTTTTTTTTTATTAAAGATATTGGAAAGTCTTGAAAGGTCTCAAGGCCTTTGCACTTGTATTTTTGTTTATATTTAAAGCTCATCTCCTTCTTTGCAACCATATTTTTCGAAAGTCAATTATATTTATCATATTTTTTATATTTTCCCTGTCTTTTACTTTCACCTTTATACCCAGCCAACTTATCTTAAATATTAAACTTCTTCATCTAATTAACCCAAGTTGAACATAACAATTTCTAACTGAGATTTTGGAACAAATTGTCGATTTTCAATTGTCCACCGTATGGAATTTGAACAAAAGTTAGAAAAAAGAAGCTTAGTATATATGTAAATAGAAGTGTGTACGTATGTGACTTACCTGTTAAAACTGATTTGCAGAGACGATATTCCTTGGCTGTTGTTATTTAAGCAAATTTATATGTATGCTGCTGGCACTGTTGATGCTGCGGCTGCTGCTGCTGCTGCTGTTGGGGCTTTTGGGGTTGTTTACTTTTCATTTCCGGCCACGTCGACAAATCACAAACAACCGAAAAAGGATATTATCTGCAGCAAAACTGTTTCCGTGGCCACACTATCGTCGCTGCGGGGTCGCCATCCTTGCTTTGGGTCTGCCCTGTCATGTTTATTTGGATAAATAATTTGCAAAACATTTTTCGTTTTTCATTGTGTGTTTTCTTAATGGCCTTTTAAGTGGTCTCCAATTCACTTCAAAGAACTGGCCTGGCTTCTAATCTCGGTTCGTGCTATCAACGCCTAACAAAGCGACTCACGCACAAGAAATACAAGTCCCCATTGGGCCAGTTATTGTTACCGACGACAATCTAAATTCTAATCTCACGTGTGCAAATAGAAAACCAAATTAAAGGTGATTTCGGGGTTTTGGGCGAAAGAGCGTCGACACTCCAATTTCCAGCACAATTCCAATGCTAATTGGCTGACCAAATGTTTGTGTCTCTGAAATTTTCACTTGTCATCATTGATGGCTCACTCGGAACGCTGCCAGAGAGCAGCTGCGGCTGGTTAGCCCTGCGGCAGCAGTTAGTTTCGAAGTGCGCTGAAGATATGTCTGGAGCGGGGAGTATATTCATTAGCTTTGCATTATTAGCCTTAGGCTGCGTTTACTGTGCCTCAGCCTCGGCCAATCTGACTGAGTTTCTGTCGCATCGCCAGCGGCGTGGACTTATTTTTCAGAACAGCGGTTCTATTAAGTTCAGCATTGGACCATCGTTGCCAATTCCTTTGGGCGATCATGTGTCCTTTCGCTCTGCTGTGCTCTCCTTCACACTACAAACGTCCAGCAACCTGCCAACTACGCCGATTTGGCCTTGGGACAAATGGGAAAGCACTTTTGCCCGATCTCTGCAGCAAATGAGGCGCAACATTGAGAGGAACACGGTAAACGGAGCTCTTAGATATGCGGACGATGCACGACTGTTGACCTACACAGTCCTGGAGGAGTACATGGGCAGAAGGAACAATAATATGCTTGTGGGCAGACAATGCCTGCTGCGTTCCATATGCGAAAATGCCCAGGTGCATCATCATGTCGGCATCTTCTCCGAAATACTAAACATTGTCCTGAGGTGAGTTAACAATTTGAATACTTTCCAACCTTTCATCCGACATCTCTGAACTCTTTGTAGTCCGGGTAAGGCTGATTTAGATAACGCCTATCACGATGCCTTTGCTGCTGGCCAAGCGGGTGCTAATTGCTTGGCCGTTTTTAAGGCCTGCCCACGTGGTCTCAACTTTCTGGACGAGCTGTTGGTTTCGGAGCACAGCTTGATTGATTGAGTTTTCGCTAGGGATTGATGGATTGGATAGATTGGATAGATTGGATGGAACAATAAAGTTTTGCCAAATCAAAGTGCATGTCTAATGCTTCTTGTTGTTGCGACTGATGCATAATTTGCGACTCTGTCAAAGGAGCACGCAGTGAACATGTGGCATGCGGCATGTGGCATGCGGCATGCGGCAAGCGGCATGTGGCAGGAAACGGCAGTAGGGGAGGCTGCACAAGCAAACGTAGAGTAGGCTCAACTAAACCAACACGCAGCTTACACGTAGCTTCTTATTTTGACAATCAATTCGCGTATTGTGAGCAATATATTTGTGATTTTGTTACTTGTATCACTTTTTATAATAGCGTATAAATTAACCGCAGCATTAATGGTTTAAGCATATTTGGTTTAACCCATTTGCAGCTTGCATATGCAATATTCTTGTTACAATTCGTATATGGCAAAAAAAGTTTTAAGCCAAAGGTAAATAATGATGGCTTGCCATTTACCTGTTCCTGGTTGATAAAAAGAACCGAACCTAGGCGCAGAGAACTCGTTCATACAGAAATACTACTTTTTGAGCTTGTAGCACTTTTATATTCTCCTGTATTAAAAATTTCCTTTTCATGATTTCGTTGTGCGCATAAACGTGATAGCCACGGGATTGTTACCTATTCCTATGCGACATCAGAAGTTCAAATACCGCAAAGCTGCACAACTGCTGCGCTCTCTCTCTCCCTCTCTCTCCCTGCCTCCCACTCCCACTCTCTCTTTGTCTTTGCCCGCACTTTGCACAGCTCCCTGTCAACATTCTCCACCCACTTATCAGCAGCGTTGTTCGCGTTGTCATAATCGCATTTGAATTAGCTGTGCATACAAAACGACGAGCAATGGCCAAACAGGGTGCCTCGTCGAAATTCTGCTGACTGCGCGAAGCTAACACTTGAACTCAGCTGCGTTGGGAGCACCCGGTGGAGCAGCTGTCGTGTTGTTGTCGACGTGTAGCTACCTGGCAAGCCTAATGTGCCACTTAAGACGCATTTATTGTCTTTCTGTTCTCGTAGTCGTAGTTGTTGTTGTTGTCGCTCTTGTTGTTGTTATTGTTGTTGTTGTAGTTGATGGTTGTGCTGCATTTCCATTTAATTGATGCCATTGTTGACAAAATGGCGGTCGCACGCCCGTTGCACTGCAGCTCTCCGTGTGCCGCAGTCAAAAGCCATTAATGTTACGGGTTTTTCGAAGAATGGCAACATTTAAAGCCAACCAACTGCTGGAAAGAGCGTGGCACGTGCAAGCACTAAAATCAGTTGAACATTAAAATCGAACATTTGACGCGGTTTAACGGTGTTTTTTTCAGCACCATTTCAGACATTTTTTTAAGATTAATTTTTAATCAAATCGTTGATTATATTCAATTGCCTTTTGGCTCAGCCCGCTTAGCCAAAATGCAGTTGCAAGTTTAGTCATTTACATCCACAGTAAAAGCATCCAGAGCACTCGCACCTCGGGGACATTCATGGAACAGCTCCCAACAATCTACACCAGCTAGGCCCGCAGCGTGGGCTTCCTTATAGGCCTCCTCGAGTCGCGCCTTTCCTGGACTGCAATTGAGAATGAGGCAATAATGCAATTGAGGTGTTGATCTGTCGCACTTACGTGAGTAGCACATTTAGAAGCTCGGCCATGATTCCCACATGATGATGCACTTGCGCATTCTCACACATTGCACGTAGCAGGCACTGGTGACCGCGACCCAGGACACCGCTCTCATTGTCCATGTAATGCTCCAGCGCGGTATATGCAAAAAGGCGCGTGTCGTCATCATGAGATGCGTCCAGCTGACGTATCTTATCGTTCAGCGATCTGGCAAATATGGACTCCCATTTATCCCATGGGTAGAGCGGCGCTGAGGGCAATGTATATGCCCCAAAGTGTAGTGTATAAAAGTTGACCATGCTGCGCCAAACGACAGGATCTTGTAGCTCAACAGCCATGACGGGACCAACTACTAAGCGAATACTGCCTCCATTGTGGTAGACCAGCTGATGGCGCTTCTGTCGTGCATGTAAGTAAGCCGTTATATTCTGGGCAGGCGAAATCACATCGTAGGAGGCTTCCAGCCATGGCACAAGCCAAACGAGCAACAGCAAACAACTTGCTAAATGCATTACTTAAGTTCCTAAGGCAGTCGTCTGTGAAGTGCACAGAGCGCTTGAAGAATGATCTTTACCAGTACCAAAAATGATCGGACGATGAAATTGTGTTCGACACAACCGAAGTAAATATTTGCGCACCAATTAGCAGCTGAATTGGGTTATAAAGTCATCAACTTGGCGGCGTATTTCGTTCAGCTTGAGCACAATAAGCCACTAATTCACTATGTAAAATGTATATTGTGTGGCGGACAATTTTAAGTGCTTACTTCCTACATTTCAAAATATCCAAAGTAATTTTGAAATATGCGCCTTCATAAAAAGAACTGCCATCCCGTGTAAATAAAGGCAGTGTTGATCAATAAATATTTGGATTGCACAAGTATTTCCTTTCGTATTTCTTGTATTCATATTCAAAAATAAGAGCTGCCAACCCATTTAAGCAACACTGCACCTATTGCATAAACAATATTTATTGCTTTCTTCTTTTATTTGATACTAGTCAAAGTAAGTTCAAATCACGCGCTTTATTAACTCGAGCTGCCAACCTATGTAAAAATACTAAGCAATGAATGAAAGTGTTTGAAATAAACACGATCCACAACATCCACAATAAGTGTAACCGTAAGTAGCTTATACAAAAATGTCAAATATGAGAAAAAATAAGTAAAAACGCCAAAGTATTTTACTTTCGGCCACACATTATCGAGCTAGCATTCAACTTTAGTAGACATCTGTTTAAAAATTAACTAGAAAAATGAGCAGCGAAGCGGTTAAAGCCCAAATGTCCCAAGAGAAAATTGTTGCCCAGTTTCAACAGCTCCGGAATGAACAAAGAAATTTGGCCAACAGCTTAAATACGCTGGAAATGGATCTGCGTGAACACAAGTGAGTCAGAATGGCCGCTAACCTAACCTCCAAAATATAAACAACTAATTGTCGCTTCTTATTGTATTAGAACTGTGATAGAAACCCTCAATTCAGCGGATCCAGAACGCAAGTGTTTCCGCCTCATTGGTGGCGTGCTGTGCGAGCGGACCGTTAAAGAAGTCTTGCCCCAGCTGGTGGATAACAAGGATTTCATTGCGAAAACCATTACAACGGTGACGGAGGATTTGAGCAAAAAGGGTCAGGAACTCAACAAATTTAAGGAGGAGCACAACATCAAAATACGCGGCGAGCAAATCGGCCCCGAGGGCACCAAGTCCTCAGAAGCGGAAAGCGGCAGCAAAGCGGAAAACCGCAACGTTCTGGTCTCCAACTAACCTCAGCAGAGAATACCAAACAGCAAGCAAACGAAGCGTGTTTATTGTGTCCATTGAGGTTCTTTGTGCGGCGGCACTTCAATAATGCATTGATTATGATTCTAATGTTATATGTAATTTTAGCTATAAGGCGCAGTTACACACACAGAGAAACGCCACTCATCCATCCCCTCAAACAATTCACCCGCCCCCACACCCGCACCTACACGTACTCACAACTCACAAAGTCGGCCCACAATTAAAAGAAACTGAGCTAATTCAAAATGGCAATGGATGCACAAGCTGCGTGATTTTATTGACGCTGATAGTCGCGCTTGCCGCCTGACTTGCTCAGCAGGCGTACATTTGTGATGCAGATGTCATGGGAAACGGCCTTGCACATGTCGTAGACGGTTAGTGCAGCCACGGAAACGGCCGTAAGGGCTTCCATTTCCACCCCAGTTTGGCCGCTGCAGCGCACAGTGGCCACCAGGCGTACACACTGCTGCTGCTCTAGCAGCGTGGCCTGCACACGCACCGACGACAATGCGATATTGTGGCACAGTGGTATCAGTTGTGATGTATGCTTGGCACCCATGATGCCGGCCAATTGGGCCACGCTTAGAACATCGCCTTTGGCGAGCTCATTGGCTGCAATAAGCGCAGTTAGACACTTACCCACTTGTACAGTGGCCTCTGCGCTGGCTATTCTCGTGGTGTGTACCTTGGCGGCGACATCAACCATTTGGGCCTTGCCTTGAGCGTTGATGTGCGTCAAACCACTGCAGTTGCGCAGCTGTAAATGCTGTAGTTGATGAGGATGAAGCATAGTTCTGCTGCTGCCGATACCTGCAAGCAAACAGTTCTGGGGGGAATGGTGTGCAAGTTCTGGACTAGCCGCCTATGAGTATCATTGGGCGATTTTCCATTTGCGACAGATTCAGCATGCCTGCGTAGGATAAATGCGCCCATTAATACAGACAACCTTTTGGCAATAAGAATCGGACACTCACCTGCATGTTGGCGCTTCTTGCGCTGCACTGCCGCACCTATTAGCTCAACCAGCTGCTGCTCGGTGCAGCCTTCAGCGCGCATGGCATCGCGCAACGAGAACTCCTTGTTGCCAAACAGGCACACCTTAATGTTGCCATCAGCTGTCAGGCGCAGGCGATTGCAGGTGCCACAAAAGTGTTCTGTCATGGAGGTAATAAAGCCTAGTTGGCCAGTAAAGCCAGGCACTGCATACGCCTTGGAGGTGTCGTTCGGGCCATTGGGCAGCGCTTGAAACTCTGGCCAACGCTGACGTATAATCTGCACCGTTTCGCTATATGAAATCAAGCGCTCCGTCTGCCACTTGTTGCCCGTAAAGGGCATGTATTCAATGAAGCGCACATCAACCGGTCGGTCACGCGTAAACTCCACAAAATCGCAAATCTCATCCTCATTGAAGTTGCGCATCAGCACGCAGTTGACCTAAGGGTCAATACCGAGTCGTTTAGTCAACAAAATATACTGTGTTACATTCAGATAACGCGCACCTTTGGTCGATAGCCCAACTGTATGGCTAGGTCAATGCCCGCGATGACCCGCTCCCAGCCCTTGCGTCGCGTTATCTGCTCAAAGCGATCCTTGCGCAACGTATCCAAGCTGATGTTCAGCGAATCCAGGCCAGCACGTTGCAGTGGCAGCAGCATACGTGTCAGTACCAGGCCATTGGTTGTAATGCCCACATGCTCGAGTTGGGGCAGCGCCTTCAGCTGTGCCACAATCTCGACAATATCCCGACGCACTGTCGGCTCACCGCCCGTCAGGCGTATCTTGCGCACGCCCTGCTCCACAAAGATGCGTGCCAAGCGCAGCACTTCCTCGGTGCTCAACAGCTGTGATTTGGGCTGCAGCGGCACACCTTCGGCAGGCATACAATATTCACCTGTATATGGACACAAATAGCTTGTGAATTTCACCATGAAACATTTACATCTTATCAACTATCAAGTACTCAAAGCCTAAGGTCTGCGTATCAGAGATAACATTAATTGGGTAGGACACATGGAAGTGATTGTGTTAGGCAAAACTTACAGCGTAAATTGCAGCGCTCGGTGAGGGAAATTCGCAGATATGTGTGATGTCGTCCGAAGCTGTCTGTTAGGGGCGAGATCGCAGCTGCTCTGGGCACTTGGCTCTGGCTCTACACATGGTGATAAGCAGTTGAATCAAATTCTCATTGTTCTAAATTAACATCTATTTACCTGTGTGACAGGCGCTTCCATTGGCTCGTTTTCAGTTTCAGTAACGTGCTGTGCACCTGTTGCGGCACTTTTTGTCGCTGTCGCCAGTTTGTGGAATTGGAAACCGGTTGCCAGGCCCGCCACTGGCGTCGCCTGCGTCTGGCGAAACTGCGCTGTGCATCGGAGCAGCAGCAGGTTTGCGCGTTTCACTAACAATCGCATTTGATGAATTGTATCTACGCTGCGGCTCGTTCAGATTAATTTTAAATGCTATTAGCACGCAAATCTGATTACCTAACCTACAACTCGCTGCTGGGGGCTGCGGCTTGGATTCCTGCGGTGCCATCAAAACACTCAATTTAGACTTGCTTTTGATAAGCAATTATTTAGAGCCAGAGCCAAAGTACTTACCTCACGAATATATACTTGTAAATTCTCGTACTGCTCTAGCCCCGAAGTCGACCTGCAACCGGCGAGTGTTGTTTATAAACTGAACGCACAGATCATATGGCATTTGTAAACTGGAGCTTTGGCCCGAAAGCTCCACACGCAACAAGCACAGTTGAGAGCTGTGATTGTGTGTGTATTTGTGTGTGTATATGTGTGTGCGAAAAATGACTGAATGAACAGTTCTCTTTGCTAATCAAATAGCCAGAGTCTCTCAGCTACCAGATACTGTGTAATTAGTTGTGGTGAAATAATATACATATGACTATGCAATATAAGGTTCAGTTACTTATAATACAATTTGTTTTTTCTTATTATATTGATCCAAATATTATTCAATTAAAATTGTAAGCATGAGTGATTCTAAGAGCTTTAAAGCTTACTAGAATTTCACTAAAAATGTTTATTTAACATTTGACATTATATTGTGCCCGAATTATTTAAAAAAAAAAAAACCGTTACATATCGGCAAATCGAGGAGGTATCAAACTAGCATTATACCCTGTACCAATTGAAAACGGGTTTAATTAAATTGTTAACGGGTCGCAAAAGGATACTCAATTGTAATATGTTTTATGTTTATACTTTTGATTTGGATCAACAGCCGTCTATATATCCGTCTGAATTATCGAGCCAATCTCATTGTCGAGATTTATACATTTCAGTAATTATTCATAGATTGACTATTATATTTAAATCACTTGAATATAGTTTTTTTTTTGATAATAAAACAACATAAATAATTGGTTGTCTTTAAGATTTTTATCAACTTAGATCTGTTTTGGGTATGCATACGCATAATAATCTACATATTATTGCTTGATGTTCATGTTCTATCCCTTTTACACTACGCCACTGTCACAGCCTTTGATCCACTGAGATCTTTACCCATTGCCTTGTCGAATTTCCCTCCGTCAGTCTTCTGCTTGCCTCGCTGCTGTTTGGTTCGTCGATGTTCTGCTGAACAATTGTTTATTCTATCCGATCTCTTGTTCCCTCTTTCGTTTTGTGTTTATTTAAAATTCGAATAGGTCTGTGCTACAAACACATTTGCACCATGCACAGCATGCGTCTTTGGAATCTCAAGCGGCTCTCGTTGCTGCTCAGCGCGGTCTTCTTGATATACTTCTTTGTTTTCTCCGGCGGCTATCATAAATATCAAATAGACGGCGTTATCGGCAAAGCCAAACCGGAAGCAGTTTGGGAATATGTGGCGGACTTTAATAAAATGCGCTTGCTGAATCCCACAATGTAAGTACACTCATGGATTTCAGATAGCCACAACTGACGGCATAAATCGCCAGCATAAATTTCAAGATTCTAGCCGATCATGGCCACGCCCATGACTGGCGCTACACGGTGCAGTATACGGAACGGCTGTCTCACTGGCCGCACTGGCTAAACGAAGCCACCGCCAAATATGTGGTGACCAAGACGATGCCGGGTGTCTATCCACCAGCCTGGGCCATCCAATCGACGCATAAAACGTGCTTCTTTCGCGGACTTTATTGCTGTGAGTACTCGTATGTGCTAAATGTACCACATGTTTGACTTTTCCAATTCTGTTCGTTTGCTTCTCGCAGTGCACTCGCTCAGCGAGTTCAGTTTCAGCGCCCTCGGCACCGATACATATGCGAATGAGAAGATCCAATATCAGTGCCCGCCGCTCCTAGGCAGCGCCTGTCGGCGGGAGCTCGAGTTCCAGCGCCGCGCCGTTATGCACAATCTGACGCACATTTTCAAGAGAACGTAGTTCAGCTTGCCACAAAAATGCAAAAGAATCGTTTTCCATTTTAATCTGTTGACGTACATGTATTTCCACATCCATACGCTTTCAAATTTCATTGAGTGCATATAAAAAAAATATTTGCATTTAGCTAAATTAACTATTAATTGTTGCTAAATCTTTGTGAATTGTAACAAACTGATTAAAAAATACATAACTGCATATGCATGTGAACTAAATAGACAATTCAAGCATAGCACTGAAGCTCACAGCTCAGAGTCGGAACTTTTAAAATGTTCAATGCTTGCCTCTGTATTATATATTTAAATATATTCTTTCTAATTGGACGCTGTTAACTTGTCATTGAGGAACTTGACACATACATAATTAATTGGCCCGTGAGAGCCCCTCACAATTTGATTTTAACAGCGTATACAGTGTATACCCCTTAAAATAGGATATTTGTAATAAATGAATAGATGGATTGTCCCCATAGTTCGTCTTGAGGACCTTAAAATTGTTCTACATCTTAAAAAATTATATAAAAAAAAATAGTATTGTGATTCTTACACATTCCATTCAACAAGGTGTTTCAGTGATATCTGGTAAGAGAAAATTATGCTCCACCGCTTTGATATTGATTAATATTTTGGCAAATTGTTTAAACACGACCCACTGCATAGTCTTGAGTCTCTTGAGTCTTTTGTATAGATCACGATATCGACATAGGAGCATCTCACTTATCGAGCTCTAGTCTCTTGCGTTTTCCAGCTCCACCACTGCGTGCCATCCGAGCGCGCGTCGCTTTGTCGGCTGACACTACAGGCGTGCTAGGCGCACTTTGGGATTCCCCTGACACCGCTGTTGCGGTGGCAAACCAGCGTGTCAGCTTCGTGGACTGTGTGGACTTGATGCCTTTGGGTGACTTGCGCAGCACTTGACTGGATTGAGTTCGCTGGCCAGCATCCTCTGGAGTGCCGCCGGAGCTTATCAAATAGTTAGTAATTTTGTTGCGCTGCAGCTGTGACTGTTGCTGCTGCACGGGCGACACATTCCCCATGGAGTCGAGACGCAGCCGACTGCCGAATTCGCCATTATTAGTTATCTCAAAGATGTCATCATCCAGCAAAGTGAAGCGGCGTTGCGGCAGCTGTTGCTTCGGGCTGGGCAAATTGGGCAATAATTGAACACCTAGGTCGCTATTCTTAGTCTTTTGCGGCTCAAACATTTGCTCCAGAATGTCCAGGCAGGAGCGTTCGCGCTTCTTTTTGACCGGCATGCCCGATTGTGTTTTGGCGTGCTGCTGCTGAAGCTGCTTTACTTCCGAGCCAAATATCTTGAAGCCCTCAAACGGTGAAACTGAAGGCACAGGCTGCGCCAGCGTAAGCTGCGATAAATCGGAGCAGTTGCTAAAGATGTCAGGAGATTTATTGACCGCTCCGCGCTGTTGTGCTAGCAACATGCCAAAACTGGAGGTGGTGGGCTGCGACTGTTGCGCCTTGGAAGGAACTGGTCGCTTTCTCTTCAATGCTCGAGTGCGTCGGCTTTGTGATTGTTTAGCAGAGGGCTGTGAGCTCTCGTCATGCGAGCTGTTGATGACAACTACATCTGACTTTTGTTGGGGACTAGGTACGATGGCCACCTCCGAGTCACTAAACAAATTTAAGGTAATGGGCAACATGAGTGGAGTTGCCGGCGGCACGTGCGGTACTCGAAATTGGGGCAGCTCCAAGGATCCGAGTTCTGCGAGGTTCTCCGGCAGTTTTTGTGCGCATTGCAAATACGAATTATCGGACTGCAGGGAACCGGAGCTTAGTAGCTCTGGTGTGGCAGCTGGCGCAGACTTCACGGTTACTTGACTGATCTTTTCCCTCCTTTTATTGCTAGGTAAAGATGTCGGCTCTTTGGACAGTTTCCTCTTCGGCGGTCGCCCTCTCTTTTTAGTTTTCGGTTTTTCTTTAGTTGGTGTTGTCTTTGACTTTTTGGGCGTGACTGTGACCTCTTGCTTTACCACTGCTTCCTCTTTTTTGCGCTTGCTAGTTGTGGGCGTTTGATTTGTATCAGAGTTGCGTTTCCTTTTGGGCGTGCCCTTCTTATCGTAGTCCAATGCCCTCATGTGCCCCATGTATTTGCTGTACGGCCGCGCATCCGCGGAACGCGTCATTCTTTGCATTCCACGTGTCTCTCTAAGTTCCACCCCACTTGAAATATTTACATCCGAGCGTTTAGACCTGGGCTCGGTCTTGGGCGTGATTGGCAAGGCTTTAGGTTTATCCTGTTTAGGCGTCTGCGGCTCAGGCGTTGGTTGAACAGGTGGGTCAAGCTTTGCCTTGTTATCAGGTTTGGCACGCAGCAACTTGATTTGTAATGGTATCATCTGTTCGGGCGGCTTTTTAGATGCTTCTTGCTCAGGTATTGCCGCCTGTTCTGTTGCTTTGTGCGAGTTAGTAGCTGTTGTTACGTTTTGATCCTTTTGAGGCAAGCAAACACGACTTAGCCTAACGTTTAGTTTTTTCCCCGTTTTTTTCGGGGACGGGGGCTGCTCCTCTGACTCTGAATCAGTAAGCTCAGCTGGCTTTGCAGTCTGTGCACGTTTTGTAAATTTTCGCTTAGTTTTGCCCGTTTGTGAATTTGTTTCGTTTAGAGCCGAATTTGTTGAAGTGATTGGCAGGGTGACTATCTCACAATCATCGCTGGAGAGCAACACCACATTAGAGTTTGTCGCCTCGGCATGTGCACTCGACACGTCTGTCACTACCACCTCGGGCTCCGATTCGGACATTTCGAAAACCAAAGGCTCCATTGCTACCACTTCATCACTGTGCCCAGACAGCGATAGTTTCTCTGGATCCTGACTCGGTGCCAATTGTCTATCCCGTTTCATGCTCATCAGACACTCGAAAATTTCATTGGTGCCTCCTGTGGAAGCCGAATCTATAGTTGATCCACTTAATATACTATTGCTATTATTTTGTCCCAGCCAAAGCGTTAAGTTCCTCTTGTATTGTTCAGGTGTGACAAGAGGTAGATATGAATCGAACTGATGGCGATAACGTCGCAGGCGAAAGTCTCTGCAAATAAAATGTATTGTTAGATAATTTCCAAATGTGATGAAATCACATAACAAGAGACATAATCATTTGGATGCACGGAATTGCTTTAACAATTGAATGTAAATTTGAAAATGATTTCATGGCTCCAAGCAATATTATGTAATCGTTTGATTTACTGCTGATTTTCACCAACTTGATGTATTCGCCAAGAACACCCCGCTGTTTGTAGTAATCCTCAAGATCGACACGTTTGCTTAGCACCTCCTTGACAGCGGGCAGATGAAATTTGCGCTCAAAACTGCGGAAGCTTTTGTGCTGATGTTCCAGGCATCCACCCAAGCTCATCACATTGTACAGCAACTTTACGTCAGACTGGAAAACAGGCAAAATGAATATAATACCAACTGCTCCTTTATAATTCTAATGATGCTACCGTTATGTCCACACTAGAGATCACAATGTTCACTTTGCGTTCGAATTGCTTGAGAAGCATGGAAGTGCAAAAGTTGTTATTTAATGTATAGCCGCGATGATCAACAATGATGTAGTCAAAGTTCAGCTTGCTGAGATCGCCAATGCTGCGTAAAACGCTCCATTTGCTTAGATAAACGCTATGCGCCGAATCCGTACTGTCTGCAGATTGAAGGTGATAAGAATTTGCAGATGAATATTGCAAGCTACAGACCATTGAAGTCCTTTATAACGCACACGGGCAGTTCGGATAGGACGCCCAAGTGAAACTGCCAGCCAGCCAGCAACTGATCATCGTTCTGCAACACAATTAATGTCTTTTTGGATAGTCCCAGGCCATTTAGCAGTGCCACAACTGACGCACTTTTTCCCAAGCCACTCTCATCGTTAAATATGCAAAATTCTTGTTTGGACAGCCGTTCATAGAGAAAACGCACAGCTTCCAGTTGAAAGCACTTCAGGTACTGTGTCGTATGGCTGGAAATGAGAACATTTTCGGAGAGGCGCAGTTCCGCTGTTTGTTCTGAGACAAAGTGATACATTTGCCTGGAATTAGCCCTTTTAAAACGTGACTCTGTCGTTCTTTTAGTAGACGTGGTGCAGCGCCAGATAGATTGCCACGAGTATGTAGAGCAGTTTGAGGTATGAAAATATCACAAACATTGAGAACGAACCAATTATCATCTTCTTGGACGTCAACGGCCCATCGATGTAATCAGGATTAAATATATCCCCCAAGTTATTATTATTGTTGTTGTTGTAGACGACATGCATGTGTAAGCAAATTTTGCAGGCAGTTGTGGGAAAAAAGGCGCGCGTTTTGTGCAGGCGGGAAAATTGTGTCTTTACGTTGTGGTGTATTTTATATTCACTATAAACTCACATAAATATGTTTAACCGCTATTTCATCAACAAATATACAATTTTATGCATATTGCGAATAAAATAGAAACTTCTTGTTCTTGCACCTTACAACACTGCACTTTTACTGAGTTGGTGATGGCCAACTGTCACAAGTAGAGATGGACACAGATCGATAATTTTTACTGCGATTTTATTGAACTAGCCCGATATATATTAGGAACATTTATGCATATATATATATCATATATAAAACTATATATGAAATATGAATTTTTTACTTCTTATTATTTTGTTACAGACGGTTTGCAGATGATTGACCAACCACTTTATAGATGACTACCTTATACCTTATATTTGCTGGTCATCACATTGCTTTGCGTCGACCAGCCCCCAAATATTTAAGTACCTGTTTGCCTAAATTAAAATATAAATAAATATACCTGCATATTAATTGTTTTACTAATAAGCTTTTAAAAATCAAATGAGCTGTTGAATTTAATTTTGAGTTCATTGTGCAAGTGTTGTGAATCGCATATGAGCGATGTGAACCGTTACAGCTGGATTGGTACCTTGCAGTTACAGCGGCGAATCCACAAGTGTTTTGACGCGCTTGGTCCATAATAAAAACTATAACTATGCTCGGGACCAAAAATAAAAAGCCATATGCGAAAAGAAAACATGCCGAGGATTCTCCAACTGCAGCCCCAGTGCCTTCGCCTGCCAAAAAGAGAATGGTGGTTACACCTTGGCGCAACACGTGCGTTTTGGGTTATTATTTGTACCAGGCAGAGTCTCTGATATTTACCAATCTAATTGCAGCACAGAGTTTAGCACCGTGTACGAGTGGTTGTTTTCAAAGCAAACGACACCCGCAAACTGTCGAAAGGCTCTTAGCCAGATGCGAATATGGACCCTGCGTCGAGGCAGTCTCTGTCCGGCTTCTGTGCTAGCCACTGCAGTACTGGTCAAGGCCCAGCTGGAGGATAAAGAGGGTAGTACCAACATACAGCCAACATATGCCAGCGCCTTTACGCGCTTTTTTAATTTCATGTCCTCGATCATGCAAAACTACAACATGAGCAGCATGTACACCACGGCACGGCAACTCGGCTTGCAATCCTTCATTGTAGACTTGAGGCACTTGTGTGCTCATGGTCAAGAGCTGCCACCAACGATCGTGTTGCGTCACACAGCTGCACACTGCTTGGAATGGCTACGAAACTTTTACTGGCTGCCACAGTGCGAGAGCATGAGCAATTTGGATGCCCCAAGGCTGCAGCGAAAGGATAAGGCGAAGTTTCAAAATGAGCTGGAAATTTTGTTTGAAATGTTTGACTTGGCTTTGGAGTGCCAGTTAAATGGTGCGCAAAAGCTGAAGTCTGTCAGCAAACTGAAGCCCAGCGCGGAGTTCAACAAGATACGAGTTTACTGCTCCACCAGGAAGCTGAAAACTACTAGAGAAATTATGGATACTGTGGTTACTGAGCTGGGCGCAGCTGTAAAACGACAAACGTCATCAATGAAGGATTTGCTAGACATATACATGGTGGGTATACTTAAAATGAACTATTTCCTTGGTGCTGGCCTTAGCCACAGCGAAGATGAGGAGCTCGTCATTGAGGCCACCCAGGGTCTCTTTCGGCTGCTGGCCACGCAGGGCTACATTGAGAATATGTTTGTAGCCTTCGTACAACTAACAGAGAATTCTAATGCGGATGATGAAAGGCGTCGTGGTGCAAGCTATTGGGCTACAAAAATGCTCCAGACTTTCGGCATGCTGAGCCGAATGAGGCGTATGTACAAAGAGGAATTGGATATGGTACGTAGCTGCAATATAAATTCTGAGTTCTTACGATATTATTTTTCTTATAGAACTCAAAGCTCAAGGCAGTGGATTTCTCGACACTTAATAAATCAAAGATATCAAAAACTATGCGATCTCTGCTCATTCACTCGGGCGTGGATCTGGCACTTACATTGGTTTTTGGCGAGTGTCCAAAAAAGCCGCGCTCTTGGGTATTTGAGCGAGAGTTTCTCATGAACAGACTGGGCCCCTTGAATGTACACTCAGCCCCCGTCCTAAAAGGGTAAAATGATCAATATAATTAGATGAGTCGGAGTTCAAACTGCTCTTATCAAAATTTCAGTTTGTTGCCGCTTGTGGTCCCGCCACTAACTGACGAGCAGCATGAAGACTTCCGCAAACGGTGTAACTTAAAATTGCAAGACATAAACGGGGAGCAAAAGAATATTGCTGACAATCAATCTATGGATATTACCCAAAACAAGAGTCAGCAAAAGCCCGAGGATACTGTTTTTGGCATTTGGTCGCTAGAGAAAGGTTAGCACACATTATAAATTGTTTTTTACAATGTTTTTTTAATAATAATATATTTTAGAAAAAAACTGGTCAATATGTGCGCTTGGAGTACTACCTACCACAATAAATTGAGTTAAATACATTGCAAAAGCTCTATTTACAAATCACTATATCTTTAACATTTAAGCCGAAAAATAAACTGACATGAAGAGAATTTATATTTACTGTCTACATATTTCCTCAACAAACATTATACAGCGAGCACTTTTTTAAATGAATTTAATTAAAATTGTTGCGCGCCTCATCTGCTTCACTTATTTTAGCCATTCTCGGCAATTATGGTGGTCTTTTCCAGCACTGGCTATTCAAGCCATCATATATATTTTTTTCATACAATTTGGGAAGGAATTGAAAATGGACTTTCAACGAAGCGATGCTATGTTAATGGAAATATTGCAGGAGCGAAAAACAATTACTGGATTCTTGGACGCAATATTTGGTTTTTTGAGACGCAAGTAACGAACTTTGAAATTGATAATCTGGATAGAGTAAGATCAAGATATTTTGCAGTACCGACTTTTACCACACCAAGAAAGATGCAGAAGACAAAATCGGGTTTCCGAAAGGAATGCGGGATCAAATTCTCTATGGCGCCATGCAGCGCTACGACCCCGACTGTTGGCTGCAAACTATGAGCGCGGAAAGTGGAATTGAAGACAGTGGGGAAAATGCGCCGCCTGCCATTCAAGAAGTGTCTGTAGAGACTGATGAACAGACACCTCAAAATACTCTGACAAAGCCAAGTGGGGCTGTTAGCGATGTAATTCGGGGATTTGAGCCCGGCGACTTTAAGAACGGTGCTGCGTTTGAACATCATTGCTGGTCTCAAACCCTAAAGGATTTGGAAGTGCAGGTCCAGCTGCCACCCGGTCTTAAAACTGCCAAGCAACTGTGCATCGATATCAAAGCGCAGCATATCAAGGTGAGCAGTAAAAGTGCACCAGCGCAGGTTATCTTAGAAGGAACGCTAAGTCAGCGTATAAGGCAGAATGATGCCATGTGGTCGATAGAAGATGGCCGGCTTCTGATCTGCTGTGGTAAGCATTTAGAAGTAAAGTCGAATGTCCCTTTAATAGGTAACATTTGTAGACAAAGCGAAGGAGCGATGGTGGGAACGTCTATTTGAGGGTGACGAAGACATCGATATCAAAAAACTTGACTGCGAACGCTACATAGATGAGCTGCCACAGGACTCACAAGTTGCCATTGAGAAGCTGCGAGTACAGCAAATGGCAGCGGACAAACAACAAAATGCTTTACACACAACGAATCCAGAGCAGGTCGAAACAATAGAACGCTTGCGAAAAGCGTGGGATGCTGAAGGTTCACCATTTAAAGGACAGCCATTTGATCCGTCGGTGGTGCGAATGAGCTAAAACTTTATTAGTTACATTAGGTTACGAGAAAATAAACGTACGTTGTTATAAGTATATTCTTAACTAAGAGAGAGTTATTGCTTAAGTCCAAGATGATGACTTTCAATTTGTACTTAATGCTCTGCAACTGTTTATACTACAGATACTTGTACGTAGTAAGAAACACAGCGAGCAGAGGCCTATTAAGGCACATTAGTTGGAGTGATTCCATCAAAGGATCGATGAGGCACATTTGCTTCATCAGTGATTTAAATGAGTTAGTAGTTTATTAGGTACGAGATTAGAAAAAGTATGTTGTTATAGTTAAATACTTAACTAGGAGGGAGTTGTTGTTCAAGATCAAGTGCATGACGCCCTTATTGAGCCTTCAAGCCGAGTTTTTTGCGCTGCAGTTGCTTCTGCTGGTAGGCGACATCAGTCTCGTCCGTAGACCAAGCTACGTACATGTACGTAGTAAGCAGGACAGCGAGAAGCAGCCGATCAAGGCTCATTACATTGGTGACAAACAGAATTAGCGTGAATCCAACGAAGGATGGATGACGCACATGTGAATAAAGATTACGCAACTCAAGCGACTTGTACGCTAAGGGCTCCGAGTAGTTATGTATATCATAGTAGGTCTGCTTGACGCCCAGCAATTCCACCGGATCCATTATGAAGCTGCCACCGTAAATGACTGTCCAGCATACTGCATGAGTTATCACAAAAGTCCACCAGAGCGGTGCGCTCTCATCCACATTGATCTGCCAGAGCACAATCGATTGAGCTGGCAGCCAGTTTTGTACCAGATACTAATCGAATAGTGAGCATATGGCATATGTTTATAAAGAAATTCAAGGCTATTATGATTCTTGTACGCACATGTAAACAAAGCGATGATGTCAGAGTATAAATAGTTCGCTCCGCGGAAGCCAAATGCAATTTACGCAGCAGATTCTTTACGAATGCTGACTTGAGGAAGCTGTGCTGAAATATAAATCCAATCACATAGAGGGTGTCCATTACAACTGGCCCATAGGCGGTTTCCAATCGCGACTTGTTGTCCAATAAATTAAAGATCCAAGTTTGCGCATTTGAAATAGAACGCGGTTCAGAAAGAAAAATCGTTAATTTTCTGACCACGTAAAACGTGTAACCGAATGTGACCAGAGAGGCTAGCAACACAATAACCTTCGCAAACGACGGCATTTTAACTTCCTTTTCTTCTATTATTTAAACAAAATACAAAAAACGTAAACAACTAGACGCGACCAGCAGCAGAGAATAACGCGGTGTTGGAAAATCTGTTTGCACTGGCAATGGATGGTCGCCCCAGAAATCCAACAGCCAGCTGTTTGTGCGCGTCTTTTAGTGATTGGCAAGTGTGGCTTTGAAACTGACGTCAACAATTATTTAGTTATTTTGTTTTATTTTCTTTTAAGTAGTTGCAAAAATGTTTACACTGTGGACACTGATTGAGGCCTCGCTGCTTTGCCTGAATGCAGTTTGCATTTTACACGAGGAACGTTTCCTGGCTAAGTGTAAGTTATTGCAGTCGAAATCTCCCTACAGCTGACCCAATACAATGCACTTACAGTTGGCTGGGGCCGGCATGCCGGTCAACAGGATTTCGGAGCACCCAGTGCCAAGGATCAAGTCATAAATCTCATTCGCTCAATTCGCACAGTTGCCAAGAGTGAGTTGCCATATATACTAATATTTCCACAAGACAAAACCAATATGACTAATACGTGTCAATATTTTCCACTTTGCAGTTCCACTGATATTTCTTAATGTAATAGCGATTGTATTTAAACTGTTGCTTGGGTAAAACTTAAATTCTATTGTAATAAATGTACTAGTAATGCTTTTCGGAAAAGTCACGATTATTGCCCTGCGTGCTGACTCGATTTGCGCTGCAGCACACACTTAACCCGGTTCTCCAGCGCTATGCTATATGCATCCAACTTGTAAGCAGCCGCCTCCAACTTGTCCACTGTGTCTGATATTTCATCGATTTGCTGCATGAGGGGCGCTAACTGTTGAAATTTGCCGCACAGTTCGTTGGTGGATACGTTGAGGTTTTCAGCTATTTGACGCATGTCTTTATACTTGGCTATAGTTGCCTTGTTCATTTCCTCGAGCAATTTATAGTCCTCTAGTGGCGCATTAAGCTCATGTGTTATATATTCTTCAGTTTTTTGGAACATCTTCGTGGCCAGTTTGCTGAGATTCGGATCATGGGCGTGTGCTAAGGCTTCGAAACTGGATGTTGAAGTTGACAATGTTGGCCCCCGCATCGGTGAGTCGAGTAAGGGGTTGTGATCCTGATCCTTTGCTTGAGCTGCGTTAGCGCTTGTTGTTGGCTGCTCTTTATCCATGTTGTACGAATTTTCCAAAACAATTTTATTAGCAGCTGATGTTGCCGGCTCGTTGTGAATAATTAATGGTGCAAGCACTGCGAATAGTAAACGCATGCGTTTCGTTGTGAACGGGTAACATTCTGTGGGTAAGGCTTGCGCTGATGGTTATTCAAATGTATCACCCTAAAAATCCAGACACAAGATGGCATCTATCCGAATGACAGTGAAATTCCCCTTCCCACCTTCAATTGACCTTAGGCGCATATCTCAAATTTAAGATGCAACTTAATTATATCAGGATTAACATTTACGGTATACCTAATAGCGTTATTCATGTTTATTCGCGAGTGCCTAATGCATTAGCCGAATCACGAAAAAACAATAATAATTAAAAAGCAATTATGTTACACTACAAGGACGACTAATTTGTACGTGCAGTATATCATATGCTTTTATCTAATATATGACGTTATTTGTCACAATGGCTGTCACTGTGAAAAACCCTCCATTCTGTGAAATCGTGAAGCAATTATTCGATCTGATACGTACACTAATCTGTTCTTGGAATGTTAAACATGTTCCAGTATAACATTTAACGTTCAAAATATTAAGCAAACAAAACAGCCTGTTTTCTTTAAAGAAAAAATATTTCTTATTATTTAACCGCTATTTTTGCCAAATAATGGGAAAGCGGTGAAAAACATCGGGAAAAGATCGATAAAACAGAATGAAAAAACATCGACGTACCGATGTTATTTTCGCATTTCGTTTGGCACTAATCACATTAACTTCGTTTGTCTTAAAGATAGCACATTTAAATGTCACGTCAGAATAAAGAGCTGAAGCATAAGCATCTTTTTGATGGCACCGCTTGGAATGTGTACGACCCGACTCTTTTAAATCTAAGCGTAGGTGCTCCAGGCCCAGATCTATTGGAGCCCTGCTGTGATATTTTTCAACAGGCCACTGCCCATTGCTTGGTGAGATCTCATCTAATCTTATCATCATGGGATTACAACTTTAATCTAAATTATCTTTGTACATACCTAGACACACGAAAAAAATGCCAACAATTCTCTGATCTTTCAATATGGACCAACAATTGGAACCTATGGGATACGCAAGGAAGTTGCCAAGTTCTTCAGTGAGATGTACACCAACTCCGTTAACTGGTAATCGTAATAAGGATTCAATGCATTGCACTGAATTGTTTTTAATATGGTTCCTTTTAGCGAGGACTTGATAATCACAGCTGGCGCAACGCAAGGCTTACATTTCGTGCTATCTACTCTGATTGACTTTAGTGGTTATATATTTGTGGATGAGTACACTTATATGATTGCATTGGACAGCATGAAACACTTTACGAGTCTTAAAATCGTTCCACTTAAGCTCAATGACGATGGCGTTGATCTTGATGACCTAGATACAAAAGTAAGAGAGCGGCATTTTAAATCAGAGAACAAGGAGTTTTGGGCCATTTATTATACAGTTCCCACTTACCATAATCCTACTGGCATATTGTTCTCACCAGGTGAGTAGAAAATAAGAGATGATTGGTAAATAGAGATAAATGACATTGTCTTATCATTTCTGTTCACTCTATTTTTAGCTGTTTGTCATGGAATTGTGCAGTTGGCACGCAAATATGACTTCTTAGTACTGTGCGACGATGTCTACAACATTCTCCATTACGGCGAAAAACCCTTGATTGATCGTCTACTATCCTATGACGCTCGTACAGATGCGGATTTTGTCGGCAATGTCATTGCCAATGGCAGTTTTTCGAAACTTATTGGACCTGGTGTGCGCCTAGGATGGCTGGAGGTGCCACCACGAGTTAAACAGCAGCTTGATAGCAGTGGAATCATTCACAGCGGTGGTGGTTTCAACAACTACACATCTTGCATTGTGGCTAGTCTGTTTGAGCTGCAGTTGGCGCAATCTCACATTAAACAGCTCCACGAAGCATATAAAGAGCGGATGTTGGCGACAATAGAAGTACTGAAGTCTGAGTTACCGAAATGCTGCCACTTTGTGCCGCCTAGTGGAGGATTTTTTATATGGATACGTTTGCCGGATCAATTGAATGCGCGCAATTTCATGGAATATTGTATGGAGCGTGAAAGGATAACATTCATTGTAGGTTCACGTTTCGCAGTAGAAGAGGGAAAGGGACAGCAGTTCTTTCGTATAACTATAGGTTTCTACAACAAGGAAAAACTTGTGGATGGTGTGAAGCGTCTGTGTCTGACTTTGCAGGCTTATATGAAGACTGTTGACATGAACAATTGTTGATTTTATAATATGGCGAACAGTTTCAATTGCTTGTATGTTGTTATCGTATTTTAAATAATGCTTATAAAGATACGACTTAGAACTTAATCAGCTATGTAGTTAGTTATGATAAAATATGTGTATATAAACATTTTTGGGCACACTGCTTAAAAATATCACAAATTTGATCAAATTTTTAAAAGTATTCAAGTTTAACTTTACAAAAACATTAGTTTAAACATGCAACACCACGTCCTGACCCCCTCTTTTGAGGATGAGAATTTTTAACGATATTGTATTGGATATTTTGTGCATAATACTTTGCTTGTACGACAACTGAAATGCGTGGCGGCAAATTCGAAGGAAAAAAAATAACAAATTTATGACTAAAAACAATTGTAAAATATTCAGTTACTCAGTGAATGTGAGAACAATCTCCTTGAGAGAGGTATACGTGCCAATTACGAGACCAAGAACGCCCACAATAATTAGCACAAAGTTGCCTAAGAATGAATTGTAAATAATTATGTACATATATTTAAAAGACTTCGGCTTAAATACTCACTAAACAGCAGCCAGCCCTTGGTCATACCACTTGTCTCGTACCAGTGCGTGCATATTTGAATCAGAGCTGGAAAGGCTAGTCCCAGCGCCGATAAGCACAGAGCGCCAAAAAGCGAAATAAAGAGCTCCAAATTGGGTATGGCTACGGCCAGGAGAACTACAAGACGATCACATGTTTATAAACGTTTGGTGGCTCCTTAGATGATTATTAAGCTACTTACACGTGATCAGCACAAGGCCCGTACGCACCGCATATTCCCAGAATAGCTTGTTACGCTGTGGACCCAGCTTCTTGCCAACGTAATCGTTCCAGGTAATATCGATGGCCACATAACAGGCCAGACCGTGTGTGATATAGATGGCAAAGGCCAGCATGCCCTTAACGCACTGAGCTGGACTGCGTCAGGATGGTAGACAGTTATCATTTTTAGTCCAAAACAATGTGAAAAGTATATTTACATTTCGTGCTCCGGCAAATTTAGGGTGATGGAGCCCAGCACACTGGAACCATAGTTCAGATAACCGAACAGGCCCATGCCAACATACAGGAACACAATCAATATCATAGATACGTTCAGAACGCCACAGGAACCGCCAAACTTGTGTGGAGATTTCATCTCATTCTCAAGCGGCAATATGACGCCAATGGCCTCCAATGCGAACAAAACCGTTCCAAAGAATAGTGGAAAGTTCTCCACCTTGCCAAAGGCCTCTTTGCCATCAGTTGTGACGGGCTCCCGAAATATATAGTAGCAAATTATGCCAAAGGACACCATAGTTATGAAATTGGCCAGTGTGGAGAAGGGCGCCAGGTATTTTAGCTGGCGCACCCAGTTAATGAGTATCAGCGGAATCAATATGATGATCATGCAGAGACGCACATCTATGTTCGTTTCGCAGACGGCATCTACAATGGACTTGATGTTGGACGCAACAAACACCACATAAACACAGCAGGTGCCCAGCTGGTAAATCAACAGAAATACATTCACTACGGTGCCTATATAGGGTGCGCAGGCTTTAAAGAAAGCGGGACCTTCACTCAGCGCTGTCTCCGCCACAGCCGGATAGTTCATACTGGGCACCTGTGGGAAAAAAACAATCAGACTGTGCTGTCGATAAAAATACAAATTGGCATGAGCTCACCTTCCGGCGCCGACACAGTTCATACTCGGCTTTGACCAGCTGGTGTATGCAGTAGGTGCATATAAAACCAATCACAATGGTGCCTATGGAGCCCGTTACGTAACCAGAGTTCCGAAACGCATTTGGCATGGCCAGAATACCTGTGCCAAGAGAGCCCTTTAGCAAATGGAATAGTGTTTCCCAGTTGCTATTGGCGGCATAAAAAATTAGGCTTGTGTGGCTTTTGGCATGCTGAATGTCGCTTACGTTGTTGGATGTGGCACCTCACGATGTTCGTAGGGATTGTATTCGGGATCCTTGGCGGCACCCTTCTCCGCCAGCTCCAGAGAGTATTTGTTGCCGCTCTGCTGCTTGACATTGTCCACATGATCGCTGACATACGCCGGATTGCTGTGTCCATTTTTACTCATTGCTGGCCAAGAGCGAAAAAAAAGAAATGCATTACAAAAAGAAAAGAAAAAACTGAGGATCGCAGCGAAATCTCATTTGTAATGGGACTACAATCAGAGGCTAGTCACGCAGCTTTGCACGTTATTTAATTGCTGACACTATCCATAGAGATCGCGATCTATCTAAGCACAGAAAATGCAGCTGAAAATAGCTTGATATATTTCTAAATTAAAAGCAGACCCAGTGCAATGTCAAGTTCAGTGGGACGAAATCGTTGCCCCCGTCATATGAGCCACATGAGGGCACACACAGACTTTTCTGTGTCTGCTTCGAGTGTGTTTGCGAGTGTAAGTGTGTGTGTGTGTGTGTGTGTGAGAGAGTGTGTGCACAACATCGTCAGCAACTTGTCGTGAATGAAACGTGCTAACATTTTGTAATTGCAGCCAATTTTACTGTCACTTGTGAGTGGCTTTGGACTGGACTTTGTTGTGATTTTATTTAGCGTTTGGAATAGTTACTTAGCTGTTACCGTTACCCCTTTTATAAGACAAAACAATTATTTAGTTGCACATCAAGCAAACAACAATTGCCCGTGTCTTAATTAGAAAATCTTTTCGTCTGACATATACAATTTGTAATTTTATTGCCCCGCTATTAGGCACTAGATCTCAACTGAGATAAAACCCTAGTCTCAGACTCAGATTCCCAAAAGCGAGAAATGGAAATTTTGGCAAATCCAAGCACACTTGTGGATTTACGACACTTTTTCCGGTTTTGCGAGTGGTGTGTGCAATTATTACTATTTTTAATTGTACAAATTGACTTCTTGACTACCATACATATGTACTACACTCAAGTATAGTTGTAGAATCGGCTGAATGCATGCATGCTATATAATGTGTATTATTTAAAGCGTTTGCAAATGCAATCGCTTACATACAACAAATTTGTAAATGTGTTGTAAACTGAGGCAGAAGGTCGTACAACTGATTCATCTTGAAGTTTGTCGCGTTGATTTTGGTTTTACGAAACAATAAATTTTCAAAGAGCTACGTTTTTCACACCCACATTGGTGCGGAAGTAGAAACGATGCAAATTCTCAAGTACAGCTGGTTTTTTGTTCTAGCCAAGATTATGTGGTACCTTAGTAGCAATCAGGTCTGAGATATGCGGAAGTCACGACCAAGTGACTATGGAAAATAGTTTTGCAGGCATATCTTCGAGAATTACACAAAAATTATACGAGATATTTGAAATTCTATGAAAAAAACACGGAGAGTCCGGCACAGCACTTGATAACTTTCTAATCTATACATGTCTTACGTATCTCTATAAAATTTAAGTTGTTTATTTTTTGTTAAATCTTTCGCCTTTTAAAAAACCATCACCGTACGCACTTTTTCTAGTTGTTGTACCGAATTTACCTGAAGCAAAATTCGCAGAAATATTTTAGATAATTTATTCTTCAATAATTTATGCGAAACTTAAATAAAATAAAGCAAATGAAAAACGTCATAGTTTGTTTTATTAATGAAACTGTAACCGGTTCAAACTGGATACGTTGTTGTCACTCGCACCGAACCTTTTGCCAAAAGCAGAGGCAAGAAAAACTTGTATGCCCGCCAAAGACATTATACGCTTAATAAATTCCATCTGACAAAGCACAAATCAAAAGTGATTTTGCCTAAATGCGCAATACTATTTAATGCAAATTTGGTTTTGGCCAATAAAATAGAAAGAAAACAACTTGAAATATACAATCGATATGCTGGCTGTTGTGCACGTGAAGTACAATAATAACAAATATAAACAATAGCTTAAAACTCGATCGGCACGCGACATATTGTGCCAGAGTCTTGAGATCGGGCGACGTGGGCGAGTTCAATGCGCCAGGTTTACTGTCCGGTCTTAGCGGTCTTTCTGGTGTTGTTATTTGTGATTGAAATTCAAAAGTCATTTGTCAGCGTCGTGTTCGCAATATCAATTGGTCGCCGTTTGCTGATGACGGCTTCTCGACATTAACTTCTGCTCAGCTTCTGAGCTTGAAAAAGTTGTTGGCCTTGCTCCGCATTTTGTCTAACACTTATTTATTCAAATTTGCTGAACTTAGAGTTGGCAAAACGTAACGCAGTTGCTTTGTTCTAGTCAAAGATAGTTGCAATCGATGAATCAATCACACAAGTAATTGTTTTTTAACTACGTAAATTATGACCGAAATGTTTTAAAACTGAAATGAGGGACCTGTCGGCTCATTACTTTCAAACTGTACTATCAGCTCATTTTTTATATTTTTCATCGCTTTAACATTTATAAATTTAATTTAACGGCTATTTGGAACGCCAAGACTACAAATACTATGCAAATTAAATGCTATGTTCTTTTATAAGTTCTCATTCATTTGCAAAATATCAGATTATATGTTAACGACTTGTAGTTGGTAACTTTTGCGGCTTTATTTTGCAAAACCTGATTTAAAACGACATTAAAGCATTTCAATTAGGCCTAAATGAGTGACGTTTTAATTATATTTCAAATCGATGTTTAGTTCAAGTCTGACCGCTCAAAATTGATCAAAATCTCTGCTGAGTAGGAAATGGATGATTGACGGATTTTTTATTTTTGAAATTAATATGATTGCTTTACGGATTTATTCACGGGTTATTTGTTCTTTTTATAACTTTGAACAATCGTTCTTTAACTTTTTAAATGTTTTTTACTTTGAATGAAAGGGAAGTCTTGACACATCTTTACAAATGTAAAGAATCAAGCCATTCAATTTGATAATTTTTTTAACACATTAATTCATCATTTTTTGATTCTTTTAAACTGATGATACATTTAAAATAATACAAAAATTATAAAAATCATTTCCTGGGGAAACTGGTTTAATTAAAAATAGAAATAAACAACTCTTAAGCAGCTTAAAGCTCACTTTCGTAAGGATTAAAGTATTCGCTTCTAGTATTTAATTAAATTAATGTTTAAAACTTGTTCAGCGATGAACTTGCTAATTGACACTTATTCTTTTAGTTTTTCCGGTTACAACTCAAGCTTTTAACAATTGCCTTCAGTTTTATTTTATTCTGATTGTTCTATTTTCGTTCACTTTTTCAATCATTTTGGTCAACGATTTCGACGCATTGTTGTGCTAATTTTCAGTGCAATTAATTTAAATTTACAAAAATACGTTTCAGCTAGTTTCATTCTCTCACTCATCACGCTTTATTAGAGCCCGCACTGAGAATGTGCACTCGAGCTCGACACTGACTTTTTGGAGAGAGGTTCGAGCTTCGCTTAGTTAGTAATTCGCAAAAGCTGCCACACTTCCGTTGTTAATTAGCCGAAAACATTTTTGGAATGCGATACTAAGATACTGTCTACAAATCCAACTTACCGACGGGCCTAAGAACAGATTGCTACCTAAAGATATAACTGAATCGGAAAAACAATATGTTACAACGTTAAAGTTGTCAG